CTGACTGACTGACTGACTCTGACTGACTGACTGACTCTGACTGACTGACTCTGACTGACTGAATGACTGACTAACTGAATGACTGATTATATCATTGCCGGCTGAATGACTGACCAACTGTCTGACTAAATTAATGATCGCCTGGCTAATTAACTGATTTACTGACGGCTGTTGACTAACGGACCAACGACTTACTGATTGACTGAATCTGGGTGAGTGACTTATTGTCGGATTGCAACGTTACAACGTCTGAGGGAAGCGTTAAACATCTCTCAAACATCTCATGTAAATACTTTATTTGCTTTTCTTTTTCGCATTCTAGGCAATGGCTGCTGGAAGCTCTGCCTTATGTCTATAAGGAGGAGGTCTTTGAACTCATCGCGGAGAAAATCGGGAAAAGAGAACTGGACACTGGGATGGCAGTGTCACTTATTCGTGGTCTAGCATTAACTCCTAATCCAACAGAAAATATGTGCACAACTGTTTTGGTAAGAAAAAGGCTTTGGCTTTTGCTGTCTATGCTACTAAATAAATCATTAAGTAAAGCGAAAAAAGAATTATATAAATAAGTCGTAACTCAGTATGCTGTCGTAATTCCTCTTGTAGGAGCTCTTTGTCCACCATTTTCCCGTTCAAAATGGGAATCTGACGAGTTGAATTTTGGTGAATGAGGAAACCGGAGCATCCTGAGAAAAAAGCCCTGGTAGAAGGACAAAAAACTCAGCTTCAGTCCCACGCCAATCCCAGTAATCGAACCCAGGCCCCACCCTTTAAACCTCTCCCTCTCCCTCTCCCTAAAGAAAAGTCAATCGCTTTTTCATTTCATTTTCTTTTCTTTCTGAAGGGTCTGTGTTCTCGTTCTGTTGTCCAAGAAGACGAAACTCTGAAAAAAACCTGCCACCTTACCGCTGGTACCTTGATGCACGACTACTGCAAAGACAATGACGTCACGTGCCTTGCCGATAAAGTGACTGTAAGTTTTCCTTTAATACGATGAATAAATTTTTTTCTGGTTGGTTGATAATTGCTCACCTAAATCTAAATCCTCGAAACAACCTTGATGGAATAGTCATCGCTACGGAATATCTCTGGTCACTCAGAGAGATTCATGACTCTGTTTTTGATTGGTTGATTCTTGCGCGTTAGAATACAAATTTCCTTTTCAACCAACTAATCAGAAACAAGGAGCAGATGTTTGGAATGGTACGTCATCTGTAAGGATTTTCTAATTCCCAACATTAAACGAACAAACATTTAATAGAATATTTGGAAGAAGTAATTGAATTCAATTCAAGTTTAATTCATGTTTCAAAACTGTTTTTTTTTTTTTTGTAATTTCAGGAGATAAAGAGTCGTTTGCAGTCTGCCAATTATCGTGAGAAGATTTTCATCTTGAAGGGCATCGGCAATTTCGGTCATAGAGCCTTTTACAGACCTCTCTTGGAAATCATCAAGGACAACCACAACTCTCTGGAATTACGCATCACAGCTGTGTATGCTCTAAGGAGAATCGCTCCGAAAATTTCACATAAGGTGACTCTGCGCTAAGAAGCTCAAGTTGTATCGGTTACCGAGGGCTGCAAACCTCTGTTAAGGCTAGTTTAAAGAGGTTTTTTGATAGAAATGTTACTTTCCCCTCCCTAGGTACTACCAGTGTTGTTAGAGATCTTCCGTCAACCAAACAGCGACGCCGAACTGCGCATGGCCTGTTTCGTGATCATTTGCGATTGCAAACCTGGTCCAGCGGTGTTCAACTTGGTAGTCAAGCAGCTCTATTACGAACGCACCAATCAAGTGCGATCTTTCGTGGTGTCTTTTATCAAAGGGATGGCTTTCTCTAGATACCCCTGTGACGAAAAAATGTAAGTACTAATGGCAATAGTTCAATTTTATATTAGGTGTTATCGGTGTAAGAAGCGAAAGCGAAAACCCAGCGAAGGGCGCGCCGGAATACTGATTGACGAGTTCCGGCCTCAAGATGTTACACTGTAGGAAAGTGTTGCAAATAAGATAAAATAGCCAACTCAAGTGGTCTCTCGCTAGATTCGGTTTTACACTCGAAGATTTTTTATCCCTTACTTAAGACAAACGTCGACCTTATAGTCAGACCGAAACATTCCTTTTCAAAAACCTAGTCAATTAGAACAAAATTCCTTGGATCTAGCAAATAGTTCGTGTTGAACATGGAGCGCTTTTCCTGTATGCATTTTAATCCAACCCCAAACCCGCACCAAGGTTAAAGCACAACGAATCAGGGGTGATCTGGGTAAATACCTTGAAACGCGGATTTGAAGCGCAGGCAAACAAGAGTGACCCTTAGGATTTGATTGATGGCGTAAAGCAAACTAATTAAAAATTACCATGATTTGGGAATGGAGATTGCCGGTGTAAAATAGCGGAGAAAGAAAGCTGCCCTCATCTTGGCGGTCGTTTTGTGGAGAGAGAGCAATGACTTTATTAAAAGGGATTCTTCATGGTTAGCGCCCTACATTTTAACGTTTAAAGTTGTCTGAGAAGGAGCTCATTCAATCATCGATCTCCATTTACCCTGGTATATTTTCAAACCCGGTCAAGTTACCGATTGTTGAAAAACCTTTAACTTTGATAAAAGGCGCAGTATAGCTGACAAAGGTTAACGCGTAAAGTCATGGTTAACTATTCTGTCTTGTTTCAGGGCTCATACCGCACGAATCGCTCTTCGAATCGCTCTTCGAGCACTAAAGAGATACAAGATAAACCCAGTGAGCTCCAAATGGCTACACTTTGGCGATTTCTCCGGTTAGTATGGTAAAAAATTGTTTGCCATAGTGATCAAAACATTAATACTTTTATAAGAACTCTTCCGGGTAAAGGTCTCCTGGTAAACGGAAGCAAAACATAAAAACACAGAGAAAAAACAAGGTTAACTACTGAACGGAAGTGCAGAGAGGCCAGGGAAAGCTGCATTGATCACTCTTTTGTGTTTTGGGCAAACACAAGAGTTTTTTTTTTATTGTCGTAAATTGTAATGTTATCAAACCTAGGGAGGAGTATAAACAAACTTACACCCCTCCCCCCTCTTAACTGTTCACTTGGTACAAACACATCTTTTGATTCTCTTGTTTTTTTTTTCTCTTTTTTTAAGATCTTCTCCAGATGGGAAGTTCAGCTGATCTTCGCATGATTTCCACGCCATCAAGCTTCATCCCGAGAGCCATTAACTCTAAAGTCAAGCTACACACCGGATTGCTTGGAAAATCTCTGAATCTGTTTGAGGTGAGTGGAATGAATTTATACAGGATAGCCCCTACACTGAAGGGGCTATCCTGTATAAATATAGATGTCTGTCTGTCTGTCTGTCTATGTGGCCTTGCTGGTGAAAGAAGAAAACTAGAAAGAGGAAACGCGTATCACTGAACAAATGCCATGGTTGTGAAGGCCGTTGATTCCTAGATCAAGTAATTTTGAAGTTGTCGATGTTTTCTCCCTTTTGCTTCAAATCTGAGCTGTGAATTGAATCCATACTCGTAACAAATAGATCACCCTGTCTGATCTGCTTGTTAGCTTAATTCGTCTGGAAAATACCTTGAAATTTGAATCTTAATCACCAGATGAAGTTATAGGGTAAACGAGTTTGTTCCCTTATAGACTGGCATCCGTGGTGAGGGAATCCAAGAACTGCTTCAACGTGTTATGGGACCGAGAGGTCACTACAGCGGAGAGAAGAGTTTGTTTAGCTTGCTCAGGCCGAAAAGAAGTTTGGACAATAGTCAGAAAGAAATCAATGAAATCCAAAACCAGGTTAGTGGGTCGGGTTGAATCAAAGTGGGACAGTGTCACAAGTCAACACTTGGGTACGCAGTTTTAGTCTGAATTATGATCCAGACAAATATTATTCACCCTGAGTGAGCAAGGACCTATATACAGGCTGTACGTAGGTCCTAAAAACTCGGAGATGGGGCTTAAGTCTGAGATGTGTACGGTTGATACACTTACATACCCACAGAAGTGACCTCAACCTCGGGTTATTTCTTAGGGGTTACCCGAACCCTGACTCAAATCCTAATTTCAAGATATGAGGGGTAAATTTTAAATAGATACACTGATATAATTCTGAGACAACCTGACTCCAAGAAATCCAAGGTAAATGTCATAGTATACAGACAAACACTCAGGAAAAAAAGAATACGTTCGAGATATCTACGGCAAGTCCATTCCTGAGAGAGTAGCCTAGGCTCAAGACCGAATTTAACTAATGCTCTGAGGCGAGTTGGGCCCAGCTCTTTTTCATATCATGAGATGTTTTTCTTGTGAACAGCTGCCAATCACTGAACATGAAGAGGAGAAAGCCAAAGGTTCCTTCTACTTCAAAGTTTTTGGAAAAGAATTGTTCTATAACTATTTCACCTATGATGACGTCAAAGAGTTAATTGAAGACGGAGTCATCAGATTTAGCAACGACCTAAAGGACCTGCTGAAGAAAGGTTAGGAAATGAAATAAGTCAGCTAAGAGATGGATGACTTCCTTTTTTTAATCCAAAGTAGCAAGAACTTTTTTTACCATCCATATGGATAACGGACATGTAGAGGAAATTCTCGGTATAAATGAGGCTTCAATGTTATATCGAGTAGCCAATTTTTTGGATTTTGCTTAGGTAAAAACTGGAATATCACCAAAGTACTCCGTCCGATTGAAGTGAAGATACGCCAGCCCTCGTGCGTTGGTCTGCCCCTGGATTTCTCTGTGGACAGCGTTTTATTCCTGCGTTTGAACACCACAGTAAAAGCTGAGGTTCATCCGAGATTCTTTATTCCTCTTCCCGATCAAGTCACTCTTAGCGGAAAATTGAACATCAGGTATGAAATTCAATGTAAAAACCCAAAGCATTAATTTTAAGATGGACAGAAAAAAGTTGTTTTAAATAATGGGTTTTTAGAGGCTTCGTTCTGCTTATTAATATTATGTTTCTCCATTGCCTGTCCTTTTCCTAGTGTTCTTCATTCCATGTGGGGAAAAATGAAAGTAAGTCTCCCTCAGTTGGAGACTGGTAGCAAGCTAAAGATCCACACCAACATCACCACTGGGTTAGGTGGCAGATTCCAATGCAACCTCAAAAATCAGAGCTACACCACAGAGATGGACCTGCCGCATGAGAGACAAGAGATTTTGTCAACTTAGTAAGTGATGTATGCGCCTTTTATGGACACATACCTAATACCCCTTGATGAAAATTATGTGCCCCCCCCCCCTCCACTGTATGTTTTCGCTTAAATGTAACGCTAGGAAGGAAGATTTATAGAACTCAAGTTCAGGGATAAGTTTATTTGTTTACGACTGCTACAATTGCAGCGTATTTTGCTTCTTGGCTTGCCTAGCTAAAAGTTACCTTCCGTTTAATCTGAAGATCTAAGCTTACAGTATAACAAGTACTTTCAGTTAAATACGGTTCTGTGTGCTTCATTATTTCTGAGTCCTACCAACCATGGTAAAGTCCTGCCAACCAAGACTGAGTCGATTTAAATACATTTACTAAATGTGCGCTTATTGGATGACTACAGAATACAATCATGATGACATTCCCCAGCCACCAACTTGTTTCAACACCTTTCTGCTTTACAATTTCCCTTTCCTTTCAAATCTTTAGGAATATTTTGAAAATAAATTCCGGTTTCATTGTCTTATCATTTTTCAATCCCGTGAATTTTTAATGGTGACCTGTCATTCAGGAAACAATTTTGTTTCACGCTGACACAGAGAAGAAATAAACCGTAATGGATAATTTTTTGGTTCCAGCAAAAAGAGCAACACCTGGCTGATGTACAGAAAACCTGTCCAAGGATCCAACGATTGGTCTTCACTTTACAGAAGCTCAGAGCTGGACGGATTTGAGATTGGAGAAGTTACTGAGGTATGCAACTGAGGGCAGTATATGTCACCACCTAAGAATGCTAAAGAAATTGAAGTAACATATTTGAGCAAACAATTGGATCCTCTTAATCTTCAGTGCTTGCCAGAAGGTCTTAAGATACTCTCTTTAAACTGCCTAGGGTATATTATTGTCAGTTCTCGTATTGCTGTTGTAACAATTGTCAAATATATCCTACAATCCTATTCCAAACAATGATAAAAGCGACCGAGAGGATTAAAACGCTGAAAGTTTAGATTTAGGAGGGCCAACGAATAAATATTTGGAATAGGGCCTTTATAATGCTTTATTTTTCTTTTTCCTTCATAATGCCCCTAAAATGTACGCCAAAGTGCCCCATAAAATGTACGCCAAGCTTTGACTTTCTCAAAATCAAAATCAAAATCTCGAAGAATAGTAAGCACCAATTTTGGGATAAGGGGGTAATGATCCTATCACTTTTTTTTGCGTCTCGTGTTAAGATTATTACGTTTTTTCTACCTTTCCAACTGTTAATTGTTTCTTTCAAACACAAAAGATTAGCAGAGGACATCATCATCATCGCTATGCCAACTGGACTCTGAGGGCAGGCAATGGAAAATACTTGTCTGTGAATGAGGGAAATGAACTCATCTTAAGCGAACATCCCACTGTCTTCAAAGTCTTTTTCATCGACGGAAATCATCAATTTGTGAAACTTTTTGTCACCGGAAAGGGATTCGTAAAGGTATTTTTAAGACTCATAATTCATTAGAAATAAGCAGGTAATTCCCCCTAAGCCATGTTATTCGGGTTTGTTGTTCTCTAAGTTTATGTTGCGTTACACCCCATCACACAAGTTGCGTGCAGTCGTGTTGTCTATTAATGGGTTAGGTTGCACTGCGCAACACTGCGTCATGCTTGGTCAAGTTGCTTTTGGTATTTCAGTAAATTCTAAGTTGCGTTACTCTATGCTGGATTATATTACGACACGTTACGCGGTGTGGCACTTCTTCTATGCCGCTTGACATGCATCGCTGGACTACATAACTACAACACCTCTACCTGCACACTGCTGTCTGCAACAACGACAACAAGAAACCTGAGTACATTTCACAATTTTTTTTTTAAGGTGAGGCCAAATTCCAAAGGTTGTTTAGAGACCGCAGATGATGCGCGCTATCCCAAGCTCTTTAAGATCACATTCGTGAATGGTCGCCGCCATGTTCGTCTTGCGACAGTTGTGTATATTCACCATGATGCATCCAAGAACCCTGTAGAATGGACCCGCACAACTGTACCTATGAACACAGATCAAGTCACGTTATTCCAACACATGATCGAAGATATTGAGCCACAGAAGGGATATGAGGAAAAATGGCGCTATATCAGTGACTTGCCCTTGGATTTGTCCTCGGATAATGTTGCGGAGAATGACGGACTGCATCCACATCACATGAAGATCGTGTTTGTTACATCTGTGGCAGGCAAGCTATGTTTGAGGCCAAACCGAACTGAGGAATCTGTGTTCTCTGTAAGGAGACATCACACAAACTCGAGCGTAAGTTTCGTAGGAAATGTTTATACGCCATTTTTCCAACCGCGTTAGACAAAAGCTGACATCTAGGGGGAGGATGTTTAGGGCTTCTCGCTTCTATTTTGAGTAACATTTAACATTATACTGTTTTAAATACAAACAGCGGCTCGTTTCCACGGGGATGGGATACGTTTTTCTTGGATAGAGCATTCTTGTAAAAGGACCGTAGTTAAACTATCCCCTCAGCTGTTGAACAAATTCAACCCGGATTCTTTTTAACTTGGAAAATGGCAACAACGACGACATTCCTTAAAAGCAAGTATTTGGTCTAGTTATGTGTGCTGTTTGCATTAAATGATTCCGAATTTTCTTTATTTGTTCCCGCAGGAACTGTGTTATGGCAGGCAAATCCTTGGTTTCGATGTGTGCTTGAGTGGCAGATACATTGCGCCACACACTCTCCATCCCCCTGCCTTCCCGTTCTGCGGTCCAGCCAGACTCGACATCTCCGTCCAACCAAGCAGAAATCCAGCTCAGAAAATCCAATTCAAGGTATTAAAAGTTAGATAGGCCTTAAAAAGACCATCGTAAAAGATCAGCATATACTACATTGTTTTCGTGATTAATTTCATTGCCCTTCATCTATCTTTTTATTCCATTTTTCTTTCACTGCATCTCTTTGGATTTGCGAAATATAGCTTTGTTTCTAGACAGACTCACAACCATCACATGACAACCAAACTTACTCGGCTTTATGGGTTTTCATATTTCCTTTGGTATGGGGCTCCGCTTTTAGAGAGTAACGATGTTCGACTGGCAAACGATTCTTTTCTTTGCTCCAGCGATGTTATGTGGATCCGCTTGGGTTTTCAAAACGAAAGTTACTACAGCTTTTATCTGCTCTTTTACTTTCCTTGCAGTGATCACACTTTTGGACTGGTTTAATTTCGTTTAATTTCTTGAAGAATAGATACGTTTTCCTACGCATAAACCGTCTTTAGGACGATCTGACGAACATGTAAATCAGTTAATAAATACTATTCAACAATTTGACTTGTGAAGCTCAAAAATCAGAAGAAACTGTTCTTTTGGTTCAAAGCGACCTAATTCTCGTTATAATTCAAATAGGCTCTGAAATTATTATACTATGAAATATGATGTTTTGCAGAGCAGTATTTGGGTGCATGTTATACTTTCATTTACAAGAAGGAAAACAAAACAAAAAACCTATCTCTGCTCATTGAGTTTATATTTGACTAAATTTATTGTAGTTTGGCAAAGGAGATCGATTCGATGAACACCACAAGACATGGAGGGCCGGAATTTACCTTCAAGGCACAAACCCCGAGAAAAAAATTGAAGCTGACGTAGACTATAACGTCGATAATCAGAGGACTGACGTCACCGTCGATATCCATAACATGTATCCATGGCTCAAGAAAGTTTGCATCATCAACCAAGTGACCAGTGATAATGTAATGGAGTTTGACTTGAGATTTGGTGAAAATTGCCTCAGTGATTATGAAGTGCAGGTAAGTATAGGGGTCGGGTAGAATGGGGGATATAAGTATAGGGGTCGGGTGGAATGGGGGATATAAGTATAGGGGTCGGGTAGAATGGGGGATGTAAGTATAGGGGTCGGGTAGAATGGGGGACATAAGAAGTTGGATTGATGAGTCTACGTGCCGGTTAGGTCGTGGATGGAAGATTGTCGTGTCAAGCACTTACCCGCTCAACATGAGATATTTCACCATAAACGACTTCTGACTAAGAGGTATTTCTCTTGACGAGTTTCTTTGGAATCGATTTTATCTCTATTTTTTAAACATTGTAAGTTCGTAAAATCTTAGGACTGGCTACAGACTAGTGATTATTTATCTCGGGGCTTGGGGGGAAAATATTGGTCGTGTCACATAAAACTAACATGATCCCCCTAAGGGTCTGTTATATTCTTATGATTTAGTTAATTGACAGTCAAGTTTTAGAGTCCCCCCCCTTTATACTCTGTTAGCGACGACTATTCCCCATACCGATCCGTCTGAAAATCATGTGATCTCTCCAAAAATCCTCCACACAGCCCTCTCCAAGGTAATAGATGATAAATGATCTCTAAGATAGTGAATACCTATCGATTTACTTGTATGACATCATCCAAACTTTTTGCAAAAACGATCGGCCAAATATGTAAATTCAGTATTAATAATTTCTTGTTAGACCCGCATCTCCATCAAAGAACCAAGTCGCAGACAATTGAACATCGTTACTTCTTACAACAAACTGCCAGAACCAGTCTTAATGATGTGCTACAATCTTCTGAAAAAGTTTGCCCAGCGCTACTATCACAGGTGAGGAGAGGTTAATCATCTGTATATGGACCTCCTTGTTTTGAGTTACGGAGAAAACAACCCACTTTACAGCCCGCGGGGAGCAGGGCTAAGGCTGTGTTCCCGTGGCCGAGATTCTTTTGGCCAGCACTACGGATCATACGGCTCTTCTCGAGACTGGTTCTTTGAATGAAAGCAGAAACTTGTCTTAATCTATTGTATTGAAGTTCATGTTGTTGTTGTTTCTCCATATCATTTGTCAGGAATAGGAGATTTTTGCAGAGTCTGTTCATCTAAAGGACTATACAAAAAAACTCTAGGAATTGGAACAAGCTTAAGTCTTTGTTCCTTTGTGTGGTATAACAGCTGGACTTGAACTATTTTTCTAAGCAGTAGTCTATCCTTTGTATCGACATCTCGTTGAACCATGGACTGAGGTTCCTTTTTGACATAAGAATCGTTTTAATGAGAAAAGGATTTATTATGCAACGATTTTGACAGAGCGTTAAGAAAGTCACAGGTAACATTTCCTGTTTCCTTGCAGACTTAGCGATTGGGAATTTGCTAGGAACGAGAAGAACGAAGTCGAATTTGTTGTGAAATTTAAAACTGACCAACTTGTCGATCTCCAACTTCATACACCTTCCCACACGATGATAATGGAAGACGTCGAGTTCAAGAGCGATGGTTTCATTCCTCGCGGATCCAATTACTACAACACATTTCTACACTTGTCCTCTCGTGAGTAGAGTTTTAAAAGTGTATGTACATGCTGAAGAGACGCTGTGACCTAACGGTTAGAGGTCTGGGTTCAAGACTCACGTTTTGTTTATTTTCAGCGGTTTGCACCGTGGACCATGACACTTTAAAAACCTTTGATGACGTCGAGATCCAATACTCGTTACCAGACCGTTGCATGCACGTGCTGGCCAAAGACTGTACGAAGAACAGCTCCTTTTTAGTTCTCATGTCCAAAGAAACCCAACACTCAGATGACAAGATCATTGAAATATTTGTCGAGAAGGAAAAGATACGAATCGAACGTTTGAAAGGAGGATATCAGATTCAGGTTTACCTTTATGTCATTTCTTTTGGACGTTTTTCTTCCTTGCTGGTCTTTTCCCTTCCATTCTTTTGTCTAATCTCCTGTACTCTGTTTTCCTGTCGACTGTTCCCAAATTTTTTCATTTTCACAAATGCCCATAACCTCCAACACTCTGCAAACGACTTATGTTTTGCATTAAATCGAGGTCATTATCCTAGCAAAGGCGCACCCACCCTTCCCCAACCCAACATTAACCCTAGCTTGTTATCAGTTGACTGTTGTTGCGCCCGGAGAGGGATATGCGCGCAGTTCTATAGCTACTGTCATATTGATCAAAGACATTAACATAACAAAGGAACAAACAGCGCAGCTTTACTCTACCATCCGGTCAAAATTAAACTAGCCAATCACTACTGACTTACACTACATGAGTTTTACAGTTGCTACCATGGTGGCAAATTTGGCCAGTCTGTTTTCACGAATCAGAATTATTACACTCGACTGACAAGCTACTCCTCACTTGTGCCAAGTGTTGAATTCCGCTATCACTTATGTCTAATGTTGAATTCCGCCAACGTTATTGAAGCCTCGGTGACTGTCATCAACAGCAACTCTATTCAGGGTCACCCTCAGCTAGAGGATCACCCTCAGCTAGACGATCACCCTCAGCTAGACGATCACCCTCGGCTAGAGGATCACCCTCAGCTAGAGGATCACCCTCAGCTAGACGATCACCCTCAGCTAGACGATCACCCTCAGCTAGACGATCACCCTCAGCTAAACGATCACCCTCAGCTAGACGATCAGAAATCACCATCAGCCATTTCATTCTTATCAATCTGATAACTTTTGCATTTCGTTTTGATCTCCAGGTGAACGGAAAGGTCCAACAAAACCGGCCAATCCGCCACAAGAACATCGCCACCATAACCGAAGAACCAGCGAGTGGCAGACTTCATGTGTTGTGCGATATTGGCCTTCAAGTTGAGATCGTGCGTGGAAGCAAAGTAGGTGGCAGATTAAAAGCTAAAGCAAGCTACGCAGAGATCACCTGACCATTCACCTACTCTTAGCGTGTGAGAGTGAAGGGCTTGCTGTGCACCCTTTCCCCACTCAAGTCTTACCCGACTTTCATGCGCGAGATCACGTGATAATCTGCGTGGGCAATATGCACGCGCTGTCTCTCGCGCCTTAGGGAGGCTATGTAATCATTCTTCACGCGATTTTACTCATATGCAAAAAAAGACACGCGCGTGCTTTTTCATTATGCACGAGAGAGTATACACGCGCGTCTCTCCTCACGAATTGACTTGCGTTTATTTACCGTGCGAGGTCAGCCACTGGCACTTCGCTTCATGCACGAGACTTTCCTCACACGGGAGTTCAGATACACGCGTTTTATCCGCTGTTGAGTCCTAAATTCACTCAGTTTTCTTTCTGATTTACTTCCAAACAGATTGATGTCCGTGTATCGCGATACTTTTTCAACCGAACGTGTGGAATGTGTGGCGACTGTAATGCTGAACAGTTCCATGACCTGAAAACTCCACAAGGCAAATTATTCACCAGCTATGATGATCTGAAGTATGGTCAAATGTGGATGGTGCCAATGAAAACCTGCACTAAAGGTATGTATACCAATAACATCTTACAGTTTCTCTACGTATTGTGTTGTTCTTTCTGAGCCTCTGCGATGCCATTGCGAGAGAGAGCGTTTGCTGTGTCGGCACCGAGACTATGGAAGTCTTTTAATTTTTAGATGATTTTTAACTTTATGTAAAGCGCCATGGACAAATAGCGGATTGTGCGCTATATAAATATTATTATTATTATTATTATTATTATTATTATTATTATTATTATTAATGAGAAAGAAGGTGAATAACTGTGTAGGAACGCACGGAAATACGGAGCGATGCAAACGAACTCAGAAAAGGGAAATTAACGTACCGGAGTGCAATAAAATCGACGAGAACGTGACGAAACTTATGATAATTAAATGAGTCGCTTGGGAAAGCACTTTTTGCTCCCTTCCCCGTTAGAAGCTGATCGCAGAATATTCGAGCGGGAGGGGGAAAGTGAGGGTCTGCGGGTATTTACAACAATCTGCACTTTTTCGCAGGTGGATGTGATCTCAAGAAAGAATACTCCAAGATCACAAGAACCATCGACGGCAAGACCTACTACTGCTACCCTACTACCCCAGTCCTCCGCTGTCATACTGGTTGCCAGGCTACCAAGACCAAGATGACATCATTCCCAATGACTTGCGTGGTTGCTGAAACTAAGCAGTCAGACAAAATATTGGATAGTTTGGGAAAACCTAGTTTGGATTTGACCGGAAGTATCGTGTACTTCAGGGAAGTTCTGGAAGAAGAAATAGAATGCGAATGCAACCATTGTCTCCAGTGAGCATTCATTCTCAAGGGAAATTTACCAGGTTACCAGGAAGCGAAACGGACCGTTATCAAGGAAGTGATTTCAATGTTCACAAAATTGTTAGCTTTTATCATTGATTACTAGGAAAGAAATTGTCTAATAACCTCGCGAGATCAAACATTTTTGAGTTTTTTTTATTTTATTTTTTTCCTTAAAGGGGCAGCTTTTTATATCAGTTTTAAATAGTTGCAGCAACGTTTCTCTTTTATAAAGAGTTCACACGCCGTAACAGGATTATGTAGTTGATAACACTTTGAGTTGTAGATTTTTTCTTTTTTTTTTGTCACTTCCGTTCAAGTGTTTGTCTCTATCTTTCTTTCATTTTCTTTTTGTTTCGATAGTTTTTAAGTATACCAATAAACAATCAATAGGGGACGAAAATCAATAAATGAAGCATTAACGTATCTGCCTGTTATTTTCATGTAAATTCTAATCATGTGAGGCTATAAATCCTCCCTTCGTTAGCCTGTTTGTAAAACAACTGTGCAAGTTTCAAAAGTCACTCCTCTTGAGAAGGCCGAAACAAATCTGTTAAGTTGTTTCATCATCCCTGTCTTATATGTCGCCGAAAAAGAGGTTTGCAGGGTTATCTTATGGCGCGTTGTTTCTAAGCCACACCTCTTTTCTAGGCAGAGTAAATTCCCTTCGAATATTGAAACAATAGAACTTATAAAATGAGTTGGGAAACAAACGATAGGTCATAAACCTAAAATGCTTTAATATTCAAGCCTCTCATACAAAAAAGGGGTTCTTCCAGGGTATTTGATGGCGCTTGAGAAAGACAATGATTGTCTGTTGTCTGCTAGTTTCAAAGCTGCCCCCCGTTTAGTGGCCGAGAAAATCTATTCTGAATAAAGGAACCATAGCATTTTTTTTTACCGAGCTAGCAAACTATGGTAAGGTCGGGGATCCCAAAAGCTAATAAGCGAATTCCTGTAGGTTCTGTTCCGGTCTTTACATCAAGACTGAACGGAGAATTTGCGGAATATGCATTAGCGCACTCGAGAGAGCACGATTAGTTCTCTCTCAAGCTCTACTTTAAGAGAAAACCTTTGAGCGAGTCGAGAAAGTCTCCGAATACTGAAACAAAAAGATTTATCGAGACCAAGCTGAAAAAGAATAGGTCGAAGCCCCCAAGAGCTCATTGATGAATCTCGTTTGCTTCTATATATATCCTTGGGTTTTCAATCGCGTCCAAAATAAGGATTCCCGGGACTATTTACGACGCTTCAGAAAGAGCGTAATCGGTTGATTGATGTGTACAAGGTGGAAATTGACAGCTCTTCTTTGAGCTGAGAAAATCCCTTCACAATTTTGAATCCGCTAATATCTCAGCCAAAACGGAGATTTCCACTCTTGGCCAGTTCTTTCGAGGCCGAGAGCTTAAATATTCCTCTTGCTGAGAGATCTGGCAGTGTAATTCACTCTTGTTGGCGTTACAACGATCAGCAAAGTACAGGTTTCACCGAGCTAACTCTCCGTAGACTGGGGTTGATTATAGTTGTTTCGCGTTCAATGAGTGAAGAGGGGATCGGAATCTTCTATCTCTAAAATCCTTCTAAAATTAAATGTCCATTTCTTTAATATCAACATGATGACAAACGGTAAGAGCGTACTTAATCAGAAACAATTACTTATAGGGACTAGGTCTTTATACAAGATATTTATCCTGTTATTTAAGAGTCAGAAGGCTTACAACGGCTCCTAAATATTTATAATATATATATATATGAATACTACTACAGAGGCTAAATTTTTCGTTCTTCAAATTCGATCCCTTCAAATAATCATGTATCAATCAATTCCTTTTTTTTGTTTTTCATTAGAGTCAATCAGGGTTGTAGCTCAATTGAAAACCCCCCAAAACGTTTTCCCAAAGAAAATTTTTAAATTAATTAGTTACTAAATGTCTGTTGGGTGGCGAAAATGAAGTGGGCACGATTTAAGAATTTCCTTAACCGCTGAGAAAAAAGCTGGGTTACCAGAACACATTCGAGCAAAACGAATGTAACAAAAACCTGAGTAGCCTTGCGTAACGCCAGTAACGCAAAACATGGCGTCAGAACTGCCGCACTTGAAGCCGCATCGCGTTATGAAATCTTTAAATATATCTTAAAACGAATAAAAATAGACTAGCCGGGTCCAAGCACTAGTCCACTTCAGTCTGTTAGACAAACTGCTACATTCTACCCAAGTACAGCTTAAATATGCGCAACTATTGGATTGAGGTCAATATCTGAACTACTCGCCCACTCCTCCCCTAACCCTAAATTGTTATCAGTCAACTGCAGCCGGGTTAGGGAGGAGTAAGCGAATAGTTATTCAGATACTGAAGTTCAAACCTAACTATATGCCTTACAAAAAAAGCCAGGGCATCCCTATGGCGGAATTTGTATGAAGAGTATTCAAGGACACCGAGAGCAATCAAAGCTTGCCTCATACAGCGCAGTCAGAAATTGTCAAGTGCTTCCGTTCCGTTCAGTTCAAGTTAAAAAGATTAGTTCATTTTTCTTTTCAAATTTGAGTTCAAGCCTTTAAAAAAACCATACCTTATTCAGGAAAAGTCGCACATACATTTGACCGCAACGTTGAAAGGAGGCTCTGGTTACCTAGTGAAACCATGAACGGCAAAGTCTCGTTCGAACAAAGAACTTCGTGCACCATTCGGGAACAATCGGGTCCTCGTAAAAACGAACGTCAACTTTCTTCGCCTTATAAAGCGAACCGATGCCACTGAAATTATTTTCATACCTTGTAGACCGGATTTGATCCGTCAAAGTGAATTTCGAAAAAGCCAGCGAAGTTGCAAAACTTCTCATTTAGTAGCGATTCTGGAAACTTCATGTTTGTTAAATAATGGTTTTACACAACTTTTCCTTAAGTGAACACGTCCACACAAAAAATATTAGGTTCAAAAGCACCTGAGTAAATGATGATGACGATGATGATAATGGCAATAGTAATACGTGCATTCGTATTTCTTGAGCGGATATTGGCAAATTTTACACGCGTTTTGTAAGGTCGAAATTCATCCTTGCTTGAGATTCAACTTACTGAAGAAAGACACATCAAGCTAAAAAACTTACCATCTTTCTTATTCTTTACAAAGATATATAGTTCGGATAAGCAGAGTCTTGTACCTTATGCCTCAGAATGAATCTTATAGATCTAAAGAAAAATATGCGCATTTTCTTTTGTTAAAATCCAAAGGTCGTGCGTTATTGATTTAAGTTCCATGGTCTTTCTTCCTCTCTTGGAGAAAGAACCTGGGAACGAAGTTGGTACATATTGACGTGGTTGATATGTCCCTGGTTTAATCACTCCGTGAAACAAAATTTTTGCTTCTATTCTTAAAGATCAAACGCTGTTGGTCAAAATTTTTTTCCTTCAGGGAACGGAAAATCATCCATAATCGTTATGTTCATCTCACAATCCGCGCCCAATAGCTCAAATATCTGCAATGAACATTTTAAAAGGCAATGCAATGACGTTATCTGTTTAATCCCCTCCCCCCCCCCCACCCCGCTTGGATGAAAAGTATACTTAAAGTGAAAATGCTCCGAGTTAAAGAGGGTGGAAGCTGTCCAAAGCATCACCCAGAAATAGCCAGGTAAAATTGATCCAAGAATCAGAGTCCCAAGAAATGTCGAAGTATCTTACACATAACGTAAGGTAAATGAACTATACAAACATATTTCCCTTTCTATATAATATAACCTTATTGAAAGACATTCTATTCTACGTTGAGTCTGAGTTAACAAACGCCTATCTTAATTTCATCCACTTTATTTCCTCTCAACAGCCATCAGAAGTTCGACAAGGTAAAAAAAATTTCCGATCATGTCGCTAGATCAAGATCTTGAGCTACGTGCATGCGCGCAAAAGAAAATTCAATCTGCGCTTCAGCCAATCGGTGAAAATGCCCAAAGTTTAGTTAAATTACGTCATGAGATATAACTTTTTTCTTCGCCAGATGTTCAGCTCGTTTGAGAGAAAGAAAAGAGTAAGAAAAAATAGACGGCTGCTAACTCGAGCTGTTCAGGCCCCCTTTGCCCTAAGCCCTGAAGTGTCCCGCATACTTTAACGCGTTGAACCGCAGAGCGCAAGAAAAACGTGTTGTTCGTAAACAAGAGGTTTCTCCAACTATAAGATTCGTTCCTAACACTGGAGTCCAAACCTCTGCTGAAGAAGAACTGCTGTTTGCTACAAATCCTTTGATTATGGCGGACGAAATATACAAAGACGGAAATTGTCTGATTATTATTGCATGAAGTAGTCTCCCTGATGATCTGTTGCTCCGTCGGTTGTTTCAAATCTTCTGGCTTCTTCTTGCATACTTTCTTTGATCTTTAATATAGCTACAGATTCGCAGTGATCCTGTAAACGAAAGACAAAAGACTATAATCAACTGTTCGTCAAATAAAATGAGATTTGAAAAGTTATCTACGCACGTTGGCCTCTAGCAAAACTTGGGAAGGTAAGAAATTTAGTATGTACGCATCCATACTTTACAAAAACCTCTTGTAATCCACCATTCGCCATCTTCGCTTCAATTTTCTTGACAAACGCGCGCAAACGTGATCACGCAAACGTGATCACGCAAATTCACGCAACAGCAAGAGCGCTCACAAAGCATAACGCGCGAGAATGCACCCGAAGAGTCTCCGATTTTTAGAGCCCAGTCTTAAAACCCTTAACACATAACAACCAAGACATTTTCGCATCCTCACGAGTGAAAAAAAAAAAAACACTACAGAAGAAATTGCGGGATCAAAATTTCGAAGCTTGAAGCGTTTGACTGTGCAATTACTATTCCATTGGCAAGCCAGCCTGTCGACCCCTAAAGTTGCTGTTATCCCCGATGGAACAACCAACTAAGAATTTGCCTGAAATTAGACGGAAATCTATCGAATAACTCTTCTTGTTTTCATCATTCAAACAGGGAGTAATTTTTGGGGATTGCGTATTCGCGTGGTATTTCTCGACTAGGCTCCGACGCTACGCGAAGATCTCTCGAAGCTACGATTGCACCACTTTCATCCGATTATTCGTTAAAACCAAATTTTGATCAGACAATGAGGATCGGAAACGCTTTAGGTGCCACGACGAATTTGGCCTGAAGCCAAGTTACTTCCAAACCGAAATCACGCCTAAAGTGCACGTTGTGAATAAACAACTAGTTACATTTATCGATGACGTTTTTTTGTCAACCATAAGTCACATGGTACCCCTAACCACAATGGACATGTATTCTTTAACAAATCATGTTCAGTTTATGCAAAGGTTACCAGTGCCTAAGCAAAAATAATTCAACTCACTTTTTAAAAGCCTGTTAACGTTCACTCTAACTTGCAAATGTCTGCAACAAATAAGAATTATAAAGTATTACAATCGACCCTTACACGGGGAACCCAACGCATCTGAACCTCTTTTCCGCCTGTCTGGCTAGCGGTATCACTACCGCTGAACATGTAAAGTAGGGACGCGGGACATCCCGCCGAGTACTCCGAGCATACGAGCGTTTTGAAAGTGAAAGAATGGCATGAACGTATGAATGAAAAGTCTTTGACGAAGTGGTTATGGTTCACATGACCTATGGTTGCTTCTGCAAACTACAGAAGTGTTTAAGAAAGAAAACAAAAAGGCAAAAGAATGTTAACAGAGTATGGCAGTGTAAGAACGACATTTACATTTTTCAGTTGGGCAAAGTGTGCCAGCGATCAACATATGCTTACTTTAGGCATGCGCAAACATTCAAGTTTTCTTTGCATGCCCGCCGAAACTAATTCATAAGGTGCGTATCCACGTTTACAAATTCATGAGGAAAAAGACTAAAAGAGGGGTCTTTAAAGTACAAAGTAGGTGAAAATAAAAACAAGTTCTATTAGAAGCGAGCATTTGATCGTAACGATAAGATTGAGGGTCCCACTAAAAACCGCCTTCGCGAGTTGGTTGACTCTTTTTTAATACTTATATTATTACTATCATTATTGTTGTTATTATTATTATTATTATTATTATTATTATTATTATTATTATTATTATTATTATTATCATTATCATTATTATAATCATTATTATCATAAGTTTACATATCCCCGTCTAAATTTTCAAACTCTTGAAATCCGGATGCTGCCCATAAAGTGCATGGTGTAGCCGACATCTTTCCACAAAGAATCAAACTAATAAGTTTTTAAAACGTATCATTCGATTTGTACCACTATTACTTGCCCTTTTTGCAATTAGTTCACGGGTTTTCAAGTCTGCTTAGAATAAAGCAAGACTTGAGCCCACAGAGGAAGCATTCTACATTTGGGTAGGAGCAAACTCAGATCTGCCAAGGTTTTTATCACAGGTGGTCACAGACAGTGAAATTTGTGTTCAATGGTAGCTTACCCTTTCTTAATGCGACAAAGATAAGTTTAATTTTAAAGTGATGCTTTAAAACTTAACGCTCGGGAAACACTTTGTTTCACATAAATAAATCCTTTCCAGTAATGCTCTATAACTGATTTTAATTAACTTCAAATCTTCAACATCTAACGACCATTTAATTCGCACAGTAGATCATCAATTCAAAAAAACTTGTTTCAGCACTTTATATATTCAAGTCCAGATTATCTAAAGAAGCAGGAGAGACTTTAAACCAACGGATTACCAGAAGCTTGGTTGTTCACACAAATTAAAGTAATTTACTAGAAATTTGACTTTCAAGAGAAGTGAAAACAGTAATGGAAGAAAATGGACCAAAAAAAAATGCAGCTTCCCCCAGATGCCTCTTCTCCACGTACGAGAGAAGAAGTAAGCAGTGAAGATCACTGGGATTTTGTTTTACGAAGTAATTGGGTTGCTTCAAGTCTCTTGAAAGCTTCCCAGTTTAAAAAAAGAATGGGCATGTGTAAGTACTATAATGTGATTATTTTTTGATGATGTTATTCTCTATTATTCTCTGAGCTAACAAGCAAAACCAGCAAAAACCACTGAAGGTAGTGTTGTATGAAACCTGTCCACTAATTTTTTTTAATTTGCAATAATGAAGAATGACAAACAATCTGTCACTTACATTATCTTGTGAAAAAGGCAGTAAATTGCTAAACTGACTGTCGCCTTCCCCGGGAGTACCTGGGTTGTGGTCATTCTGGTTATCCTGTAATTGAAACAGAAAAACAGGAGCAAAATGTAACAGTTAGTGGGGGAGGGGTGAGGAAAGGATGGGGGGGGGCAGAATTATCTTGGTTGTGGAGTAAATTGCTAAACTGACTGTCGCCTTCCCCGGGAGTACCTGGGTTGTGGTCATTCTGGTTATCCTGTAATTGAAACAGAAAAACAGGAGCAAAATGTAACAGTTAGTGGGGGAGGGGTGAGAAAAGGATGGGGGGGGGAGAGAGTACCAGGGTTGTGGTCATTCTGGTTATCCTGTAATTGAAACAGAAAATCAGGAGCAAAATGTAACAGTTAGTGGGAGAGGGGTGAGGAGAGGATGGGGGGGGAAGAGAGTACCAGGGTTGTGGTCATTCTGGTTATCCTGTAATTGAAACAGAAAAACAGGAGCAAAATGTAACAATTAGTGGGGGAGGGGCAAAAAGAGGATGGGGGGAGGCAGAATTATCTTAAGTGGCTGATGATTTGCTCATAATTCCAATGAAGAAAATTGCCACTTTCCTTATGTTCATCATCTGTCAAATTTATACTGTCAATGCATAAGCAAACCTGTCAGTTCTATCAGCTTTATCTGACAAGGTCTTATTATTCGCCATGCTGGCTTCTGGTTAACAACTTGGAAACACCATACATGTACATGTTTATTACCACACCTGAATACAAGAACCCACATATGAAAAGCTACAACCCTCCTCTTACCTTGGGCAGACCATCCATATCAGGGTTCGAGTCTGTTGCAGAAAATATCAAAATTTTATGTTAACAGTGGCATGCGGGACTTAATTTTAGCAATGAGTTTTCAGGCATCCCTACTATGTCATTGTTGCAGCTAATCAAACTTTGAAGCATTAAAAAAAAGGAATGAAAACTAGATACTCCTTACATTAAGGAAAAGATAAAAGCTGCACTTTTGCATGTATGCAACACTATTTTAATTGATTATGAATACTTTTGCATATTTTTAAATGTCCTATTTTATCAATTTTATATTCTATCTTTAAGATTATCTTATGATGTAAAGTAACAATTTATCCATTGTTGATGATGTGGGAAGTGGTCACTCAATGTTCTGAGCAACCAGGCTCATGTATAAAGCACTTGACAATCTTTTAAGTGAAGGGAATCCTCAGAAGGCTATCCTCAAGTTTTAAATTCTTAAGATGCTGTTTTATAATTAATTTCCTCAAGTAGAATAAATACATGTCAAGAAACTTGTTCAACTAGATAAAATTAGCACTTGCTATTCTGAGCAGAAAAGGTGAAAAAAAAAAAACATATTTCCTGGAATAAATGTCAGCACTTATTGAAAATTTTAATTGGCTTTTTGGCAATTATTGGAAGGAAGCCCTAGATTGAGGGGCCCCTTTCTTATTCTTCTGTACTGATTCTGCTGTTGTTGAAACTTGGAAAAGTGGGGGGGGAAGGGGACATTTGTTTGACACTATGGCCTTAGAAGTGGGAGAGTATGTGGGCATTTTTTTTAGGAAATATGATACCATAACCTGGCTAAGTTGCATGTTTGAACATTTTTGGTACAGTGCAAAAAATAACCTCACCATTCATCACAAGAGGAGGCTCCTGGCCCCCCAGGGGTAATGTATTGTCTGGGCCACCACCCATGTACTATGAAAAGGAAATGAAATCATTGGTTAATTTTCAGCTTGGTTAGCACGAAAAGAAACTAACAAAGACATTGCTTACTTAGAGTTTACTTTTTTAAACCAAAAAAAAAAGACTATATTTACATATCCATAACTATTTATCTATCTATCTATCTATCCTTAGTCTTCTGCTGTCACTACTGTTGATGGCCGAGGGTTTCTTATACTCACTGCAGACATGTTTCCACCAGGGACAGATTTCATCATTGCGTACATGGATTCATTGCCAGTATTTGATGGGTCTGAAATGGGAGAGTATTAAATTTTGTTCATTTTAATTCACTTATTGTTTCCATTGGGCCTACATCAATAAATGTTAACTTGCACACATTTCAAATGTTTTTCCTGCAGGGCTCGACACTAACAGTAGCCCACTAGCCACAGACAAGTAGAAATTCAGTTTTGGCTTTTCAATTTCCACTAGCCAGTTTGGCTAGTAAACAGACTGAGATTGTTGTAACATCTAAAACATCTAAGATGTCACTAGCCACTTGGCTAGTAAGTTGAAAAGTTAGTGTCCAGCCCTGTCCTGTCCAAGTATTTTCAGTTTATCTGTTTCAAACACATTGCACACACAAACACAGACCTGCAAGATATAAAATAATCGATATTTACCCTGAGGAGACGGCATGATTGGCGTTCCTGGAGGACCTGAGACCTGAAACGACAAGAAATAATCCATGTAAGTAACTTGTACCACAAGCAAGTGGTTTTACCGTGTGTAAATTAGCCAATGGCGCTCTTTGGCCGAGGCCTTATGTGTTTCACAACACGAAGAGGATTGATTAAGTAAGTAAGTAAATTAGCTGTAATTGAGTTTTGTTCTGTATATAACACTAATCATTGTATAATTAAAGTTGATTAAAAAAAAAAAAAAAAATTAGCATGTCATTTGTCAAGTGTTGTCCTTTGCTGCACTGTGGTGCAACAAAATGTAACATTTTAGAAATTAAAATGATCAAATCAAACTACGAGCAGTAAAGATACCAAATGTACATAATCTCATGTAAATTGCATTCATGTCACGTTCGGGTACTAGATTCATCATCAAACCGTCGCTTCAGCTGTACATACCGATGTTGTAGGATTCCAAGGTCTACTACCAGGCCTATAAAAGATTAAAGCAAAAAAAAAAAAAAAAACATTTGAAGGATCTGACAAATGTTATTCCGTCAGTAAAACTGAGCAGTATATTTAACTCCTTCTTTAGATCTTAATCTTAACTAGTTAGCAAGTCACAACAGGTGAACTGGAGTTCAACAAATTGCAGAAAGAGAGTTTTAAACAGATTCAATGACTAGTTTGATTCCAAGTCCAGGGCTGTGCTCTAGCAGCACCTGGTGGCCCCTGGGTCATTACTTTAGCTCTTGGGTGACTCAGGAATCTTTTATCATAAAAAGCATATGCTGGGCACCCTGGATTTCACAGTTTCAGAGCACTGGGCTCCCTTCAATTTTTCTTAGAGCACAGCCTTGAAGTCTATGAGAACCTAACAAAATAGTTCGCACGACTACCACGTGACCTACTCAGCCAAAAATTGGATGCAAGGCAAACTTTTGTGGGTTCTTTGTCACCCATGGTGGAATCTGTACACAGTACATCATATTTCCATGTGTGTGTAGAAAACAGCACCCCTGGTGATTCTTTTTGAAGCTTTAAAGATTTAGCAACTTACATAGGCATGTTGACACCTTGGGCTACTGAGCTGTTGGGCGGAGGCCGCATTCCACCATAGTTCTGCGAGTAATTAGATAACAAGATTAGTCTACACTCAGTTATTTCCCATTCAATGATGATACAATCTATCACACAATTAAGTAAAACACCACTCAGTGATAGTGTTAACCACCATGATGGCCTAGGAAAATTTTTCCAGGTTAAGATGAGAACTTCAAAGAAAGACAGAGATGGAAGATATTTCCAGTGACTTCATATATTCATATATGTTGAATGTTCAAATATATAGCAAAGAAGTTGACATGACTGACAGAGTTTTTTACTGATTCCTACAGAAGCCAGTACTATTCACAAAACCCACAAAAATTAGATCCACAACATTTCGAGCAAAATGATACTCGTATTTTAACAAGAATGGGAAGATCTAAAAATTGTTTCCCTACCGGTGGAACGGGAACTCGAGGATGGTTCATTCTGCTCATTTGCATTGGTTGCCCTGTGGAAGTCAACAAAACACGATAAACCCCAACTGCCAAGATCTGATTGTTAATTCTCGCCTCAAGCAGCTACACATTTCCTTACAAATTAATAACAAGAATTTGTTAAAAGATCAAGACAACAGCTTCTACCAGACAAAATAGTAGAAATATATTTTGTTTACCTATTTGCTGGATAACATGGATATTATAGGGAGAAGTTACATGTTAATCACTTCTGGGAGTTAAAAAGTTGAGTGGTTGGTGTGAAAATATCCACCCAGAAAAACAGATAGTAATATTATATTCATATTCTCTATATTCTTCTTTATACATTTCCTTTGGCACTGAGGAGAATTCATGTGACAATTCTAAGCCTCTTAGGTTGGCAATCATTTCCTTTATTCCCAGGATCTTAATCAATTATTCGTATTACTGTTTGGAGACATCACAAGCTGGTCACTCCTTGGGTTTGAATGGTTAAAAGCTTGATGGAGAAATTAGAGGTCTAGGAAAAATTGATGAGGGAGATGCAAAAAAATGTGAAGGAAAGGAAGAACACAAAACAGTTTCTAAAGAGGGGATAGGATAAAGAAAGAATGGAAAAAATTAGGGAGCGGTTACCCACAATACAATTGCAACTAAGTGGGAGGAGTAGGGATAAAACAATTGCCAAAGAGGGAATTTTATGTAAAGGAATGACAGAGAGACCATTCCAAAATTAGGGAGGGGTTACCAATGACTGAAAAAACAATTTTAAAGGAATAATTTGGATATATCAACAAAGTTGAAATGGTAAATTGGCCACCGTAACGATTACAAAAGCTGACGTTTCGAGCATTAGTCCTTCGTCAGAGCGAATAGAGGAATTGTGGGTTGTGTGTGCTTTTAAGGGCAGATAACGTAGCTCCATTTTCTGCCTTTAAAAGCACACACAACCCACAATTCCTCTATTTGCTCCGATGAAGGGCAAACGCTCGAAACATCAGCTTTTGTAATTGTTACGGTGGCCAATTTACCATTTCAACTTTGTTGATATATCTAAATTATTTCGTTACTCCCACCAACGCAGCCCCAAACAGTTTCTTTCGAAACTATCAGCCTTTATTAATTTTAAAGCAACTAGTGAGGGAAGTGAGAATGTCCAATACACTTTCCAGAGATGAGAAATTAACTCATGCAATGGGATAAAAGAGCTATGGTAACAAACAAATAAAATTTTAGTTTATATACAGCCACTAAAAGCCCCTTTTCAGCGATGGTTATTTTTTGCAACACTTACACTATAGTTGGAATAAAATCGACCACTAATAGTCACTTAGTTGACTTCTGTGTTTGCTACTTTAAATTTCATGTATAAATTCAAGTTCAATTAGAAGAAAACATTCTTGAATCTCAAACCTAATTTCTTAATAGCTCTGAGGATCAAGAATCAAGGTACGAGTCAAAACTGTCAACATACTTTTGAGTACTACAATAGGAAACAAATATCATAGTCAAAGCTACGGTGACCTTGAACCAAATTGGTAAATCAAAATAACACATTTTCCAAACATGATTACAATTACCTTGATATCCACCTGGCTGCCTTGTAGGGTCCATAGTGCTCGGTAACAACGGCTGTGCACCTGGCACACCTGCCACACCTCCTGGAGGCTTTAAGGTTTCACAAAAAACAAACCAGATATCAGTTGGTTTTGAAATAAATTTCCTAGAGGTTTATATAGTTCATTGAAAACCCTGAGTAACATCTTGAGTTTATCAGCCCGGCAGCCCATTTCTCAAAGGTCCTAATAAACTAACCGGGCCAGTAAAGTTGATCTGTTTTCATTCAAGGTCGAGTTCAAAAGTTTTGAAAATTACATAATAACACTATCAGCTAGAGAGACAAAATGAACTGGTTAGGGTGCTAGAATCTGCCTCTCTCTTCTTGAAAAATTTTTTTCATTTCAAAACATGGCTTTGGGACTGATACATGTAAGCTACCAGGACTTTCAAGTAGCAGGCCCCTGCACATTTTTGCCACAACTTATCCTGGTTTGTTTGCATAAAGCAGGTAGAAAAAATTTAATCCTGGTGGGATGCTACCAGCCCATAAGAATTGGCTGCCACCTGGTTGCCAAAGTGACCTCCTTGCTGGCTTACTCTGGCACTGCCTTTACTACACCTACAGTGTCCAACCAGTGTGCTCACTGAGGGTACAACACCTTCAACATTGTATTGTTCATAGGAGACACTTTATTTCTATTACATGTACCTGGCCGGGTATTCTCACATTTGGAGGTCTGTTCACTGCTGGGTTATATCTTGACATACCATATGGTGTCTGCAGAGAATAAGTATATGGCACAGAGAGATGACATCAGTATGCATATTCTCCATACTGTCTTCGCTACATTTCCCAAGGTTTTTACAAGGAGAATTTGCTTAACAAGCAAGAGCTTCTTTAGTTGGTGATCAGTTCCTTTATTCTCGCGACATTGATGCATGATCCAGGGGTTAAATTGCAAGTAGGAATTAGATGTTAGTCACTCTTAAGAGTTAATCAGTTAAGTTTTCATACCTGATTGGGCATATATGCTTGAGGTGGCTAGAAAAAATATAAAAAAATTTTTGGCAACTATTGCAGAATTCCATAATGAACTAAGTGATGACAACTGATCAGAGTTTGTACACTTTTTTTTCAGAAACAAATTTCAAGAACTTGTCCAGGACCCCAAAATTCACCTTCAACCCTATCCTTCCAAAGATTTCAAAATCAATATTCATGTTACAATCTTCATGTATTTCTAATAATGTAAATTCTGGAAACATAGTTGCTTGAGTTAAGAAGATTTCCAAGACTTTTCAGGACCTGTAGTCTTTTCCAGGACTAATTGCAGTCCTGGAAAATGTCAAAATAAAATTGCAGGACTTTCTGGTTTTTCCAAGACCCATATATGAACCCTGACTGTTTGGATGAAATCTTAGTGTGCCGCTACATTCAAGTGAAAGCTTCTATCAATTTCCCTCATCTATGCATGCATTTGATTAATTGTTATTTTTGTCCTATTCAAGCACAAATGCATAACTGATACCACCATTAACAATTTCTTGCTTCCTATTAAATAAAGCAAATTGATCTCATGTTACAGTGGAAATGCACGGCAACAGATCACAGAAGATGTTAACATAAGACAAGAACATAATTCACACACTCGGCTGCTCCTTGTGCATCAGGTTTTTGTGATCTATTGCCGCACAGATGTGCCGCAACATGGAATCTATTTGTTACAAACAAGATGGTTCTAACATTTTACTCCATGGATAAACCCCTGGTATGTGACCATTTTGGTGTAACTTTAAGTGACACTGAACACAGAGAGGTCCAAACTTGTAAACTTCTTCAAGTTCAAACCATAAGGCTTGAACATTTGTATAGAACAAAACTGAGAGCTGAGATACACCCTTAAAATTACCTGATTAGGCATGTAGACGGGAGGTGTCTGATGTGATGGCTGTTGATGAGGCGATGCTTGTGGTTGTGATGACTGCATGGAAAAGACAAAGAAAAATGTTTAAGTATGCACATTGGTGAGTTTATCAAGATGACAAGGTACAAGACTGAGACCCTTTCTATGGTAGTTGCTTACCGTGAAGTAGGACGGCATTCCTCCGGACATATTAGAACCCCCTTGGGGACCATCTGTGGCCATCTGAGGGAATCCTGGGGAAGGTACAGCCCCTTGCTGAAGATTTGGAATAACCTGGGGAAGACAAAGTTTGTCATGATGTTGTGTTTATCAACTCTGATCAAAACTTCAACAGAATTCTTAAGGGTAATTGGGAATCAATTTGAATTTTAGAGGAACAGTGCATGAGTCATACTTGTACATAGACAGAGCAACAGGATAGCCTACATGCCGTGCCAATGAAATTGGACAGCATGCATCATTTGCCCACAATGTTAAAGAGATAATCAGGTTTCTTTTAAAACTTAAATAAATTTCAGCTTAATTTAAATCACAAGAATCAACTCTGCCAAAGTGCAATGAAATCTTATTATCTACCAAGTTATCAGTATAGCATTTCTCTACACAGTTCATATACTTTATTCTGCAAACACGCTATGAGAAGAAGGAAAATGATCAAGAATTTGAAGAGGGTCTTATCCTAATAAACCAATATGTTATCTTCACAAATTTATTGGGGAAAGTACTGAAGTGCTACAAGAGAGAGAGAGCGAGAGAGAGAGAGAGAGACAGAGAGAGAAGAGAGAATTGCTCATCGGAATGTGGGAGGTAAATGGTTGAAACAAAGATTGTTTTCAGGGTAAGATTTGAAATGATTAGACTGGACACTGACAAAAGCAAATTATTTAACCCCTTTAACACCAAAGACCTGATTGTTAACTCTCAACTCTAGCCACTACACATTTTTGAATAGATTAGTAGATTAGTCGCAAGGATGTTGTTCAATCTAAATATAACTTCTACCTGATAAGTTTGTGTATTCTCATGACCTGTCTGCTGAATTACGTAGGGATATCATAGGGAGAAGTTAAATGTTAATCACTTCTGGGAGTGAAAGGGTTAACAAAACAATTGTTTTTGTCAGAGCTGCATTCTCAATTTTTTTTTTCATCACAGCTATTAAGTCATACTTGTTGCTGAACCAAATTTTACAAATTTAGACTTTCTTGCTCTTACGTCAAAAACAGCTTCTGCTAAAACTATAGAGACAAAATAATCATTGTCACTTTTAATGCAGAAACAACAAGAGCTTAGAGAAAAGCCACACAGAGGTGATACTTCTGTATCACCAATAAATTATACTGAATGTAATTTAAGTGAGGGTTGTCCTCTGAGTAATTCTTGCATAGATTAAGGCACCACCTGAAGAAAGCTACAGTCATGGGTTAACCATTTCATTACCGAGAGTGATCAAGACAAAATTTCTCCTCAATCTCAATACAGTATGAAACAGCCCAATGACGAGAATAAAGAAAAATATCAACTAGAGGATTATTGTTTGATCCTGCACCAAATTCTTACAACAAACTAAAGAAAGGCATGACAGATAGCAAGGAGGGTTCCCATTCAGATGTAGACAGTGAAAGGGTAAACCAAACATCTAAAATGGTATGAAGAAATCCTGGTTCATCTAACACACATTGGACAAAGCACCCAAAGATCCCAAAATGTTTGAGATTTTTACCACAACCTGAAAAATTTTGGTCTCAGATATTCAATGTTTACATATTTGATAACATCCAAAGCCAAGCAAAAACTCCTTTTAAAACCAAGGTCGACAACTTCCTTAAAATTAATATCATCAATTTCCCCCAACTATGAAGAAGACCTTCACATGGGACAAGAAAGGAGAATTTACATATTTACCCTATACACACCAAGTATTTTGTTTGGAAACAATGTCATTTTTTGAACAGTAGATACTTGCAACAGGAAATTCATGGTGCTTAGATTTGAAACAACAAATCTACTGCTGTAGTCTGCCAGAGTACATAAAAAAGATAAAACATTTCGTTTACTTTCCTCTAATCGTGCCATTTAACTGTAAGAGTTCACTTTACAATTCTTTCAAGAAGGGACAGATATAAAACCAACCCACTGAAGCATTGGTGATCGTGATTTTATCTTAAAAAACAATTCTCTGTCACTAAAATACATTTACAACACAGGGCTGTCAGTTCTGTTGTCAACAACCACCAAAGGCCTCGTATTTTCACAATCCTTGTCTAAACAATGAAAATCTTGAAAGCATGGTTTTTCTTTCTAAAACTATTTCAAGCACGAGCTTATTGAGAGGACGAGAGCAAAAGCCAAGAAATCACGTCAAATTGGATTGTATTGTTTGCTCGAAAAAAGAAGACTCCATGCGCTAAATTTAACAACAGTTTATCGTTGGATCAGCGAGCTCATAGGTTCTGAGACAATAGCATTTTGGGGAAACTTTCGACTGGAATGGGTGAGTGTTGGAAACTCAACACCTGCCAAGACGCTAGTACGAAGCCCGATAAAAACACCCAAAACCTCACTTTTGCTGACACTTCACTTGTCAGACTTTGTACCAAACGACAGAAAAACAGTGTTGTTTTAAGTTCGACTGGCCACCCATGACGTGTATTCCGTTTTGTCAGTGTTGTGGAAATAAAAAATCTGGGCTATTTATGGCCATGTATATTCAAATTAACTACACACCGTCGGCTACTCTTATCGCGCGTGCGACATGGAATTGGTCGAATAATCGCTTTCAAAACAACTTGCAAACGTTTGATCGGCTCTCTAGGTAAGGATTTCATCGCGTCGCTTTTCACAAATGGCGCTAGCGCAAGCTGAAAGCTCTATCATGTGACGAAAAAATACCATTCCTTCCTGAAATTATGTAAATTTTGGGAAACCTCAATACGCATCTCCCCCACAGTTTATCAACACAAAATATTCGTCCTCGGCGCGGTCTCGTGGTTTCGAAGCATCGATCGATCAATCGTGCGATTGATCTTTCCTTCTCGCGTCTTAGCACGGACTAAGCGGTTTATTAATCGTGGATGAAAACTGACGCTCTTCATGATGATTTAGTTCTGTTTAAGAAAAAATATATCTCTCGTACGCCTACACCTGACTAGCGGCTCGATCATGTCGTAACTATAACCTCGGTTAATTTATTCAAAAGCTGTGTTCATGAGCATTCACCGAGATCTATTCAAGCGGTAACGCGGGATTTAAAATGACTAGAATAAGAACATTCAATTACACGAGAAAAAAGACAACATTATCGAGTGGAGCGGTCTGTAATCTCCAGTCAAATAACTTCGGAGAGTGAGCTAAAACTTTAGAATGTGTGTCCTAAATGCAACTGGTGGCGAATGACAAAGACCTTTGTTCAAGTTAAGCATTCAAAGGTAGAAGTAGAAGATCTTAAAAAAAAGCATAATGCGTTCGAAACAAGTTCGACCTTTTGGAAAAATTACGAAGCGTAATAAATCAAAATCTTTACTTATCCTTTACAGAACACAGTATATCCCGTCTTCGATAAAAAATTAACCAGCGCGCCTTCGATAGGAATTTGAATATTGACCGAGTAGAAGCCTCAACTATAAGAATCGGTTGAATAAAAAATTTCTCGAAGCTGTTAAAACATTACGCTAAACATGCAACAATCTGAGAGGGTCGGTAGCATATCAGTTACGTTTTACTGAGGGTAAAGCTAAAATTACCACGAAATGGTTTTGCATTTTCGATAAAGGTTATGACAGCGGGCAAAACGATTCATGAGTTTGGAAATTCTTGGATGTAATGTACGAAAAACGCACCATTTTAATAGCGCGTGTTTCTTCCCTTTTTACCGTAAGAGCCCAGCTCATTGGAGATTTAACTAAAGCCCTTTCGTCCGTTGCACCCACAACAATACTAGCGACGAGAAGAATGTTTCAAATCGATGATCGAGACAGATTTGCGCGCGTGGAAATGTAACAATACACTGATGTAGCGTGACAAAAATGGTGTACGCATCAACAGAACGCATAATCGTTCGCTCGCAAAGATCTCGCCAGAAATTATATCGAAAGCTTACAATGTAAATACATGTTTGCTCTTACATAATCGTGGAAGGCCTTTGCTTCACTGGAGTGATCACAACTGTCCCTTCTCTCGGGAGCAGCACAATATAAGTCCCAAAACACACTACAACAAGAAAGGAAAAAGACACTAACATCAGATGAAACGAGCAGGGATAATTTGGGCGGGAAATTAAAAAAACAACTAGGGTTTAATCGCAGAGAAAGGTTAATGAAGCTCCGAGGATCACAATTTAGAAGAGTGGAGAATAAAATATGGCAGTGTAGGGCATAAACGTCTATTAAAAAACGTAGCTATCATTTATTCTCCTGTACAAAGTAATGAGAACCTAGTTTATATTCGAATCAACAACTCTCTAATTAGTTCAGTCATTGGCGAAACTTACCACCACCACGAATGTAGAAAACCTGGCGGTTCCCCTAACGTTATATTCTTCTCCCATCTTATCTGAAAGGGAATTCAACCATACTTCATTATTTCGTTCGCGTGTAACAATCGAGCGACGCGATGCGTGTAGTTCGCGTCGCGGAACGCACAAAGCCTAAACCTTGCATACTCTCCGTGAATGCGAGTCGACTCCTGATCAAGTTTACCTCGTTAAGAAAAGTCTGTGCGCTCTTCTGTGCTCCAACGTGAAGAAGATACTCGTAGACGTACAAGGCCAGCCTGTGAAGGAACGAAAACGGGCGATAAACCATTTACGCTTCATCAATGTACAGACACATAGGACACTTTCCTAAACACAAAGCCGAGCTCAGACCGGCGATGAAAGTTTCGAAATTCGCCCGCGATGGGTCGAAATTTATAACACCATCCCCCGTTTTCGGACACGCTGATTCCATTTCTGACATCCATTTTGCAGGAAAAATCAAACGAAGCTTACTTTTCGCGTGCCTGGGCATCAGAAGGCACAGTGTTCGCCTTGCCTTTAGAGTACATGCTGTGCTGGCCCTGTCAAAGATGTGTCAGTGCAGTTCGTCATGCCTTGTGGGGTCCGCGTCACAGACCGGGGCCTAGCGCCTGTAACTATAGAAACCATTAGTGGATTGGCACTGATTGGCCGATGGACGGGACCTCTAAGTCAATGGAAAAGCTTTACTTTGGAATGGACTCGAGAATTAAGATTACGGAGTGGTCGAAGTAACAAAGGATAAATATCGAAAAGACAAAATTTGGGTGTAGAAACCTTCAGAAATCATTGCATGCAACGAGAATAAGGTGTCACCCATCCTCTACCTCGATCTCTTTATTTTCTTCTCGTCTTCTTAACAGTTCTATTCGTGCTATGTACAAAAATGAACATGTATACAAGAGTTGCCCTTCACCGACTCTGACGTGTTTCAAGAAAAAAGAAGAAAAAGAAAATCGATTCAAAATAAGCTAATGAGAACTAATGAGAAATCACTTTAAAAAACAACCTAAATTAACGTAACCATCAAGCTAAGTTTACTGTCATTTCACTGAAATTTATGTTTTAAAAAAACTGTTTATCTCTTTACTTAGAGGAGAACTTAGAATTGGCCTATAACTTTTGTCGATGATTCTCCACTTTGAGCGAGCGGGACGGGAATGTCCTAGCGCACGGAGAAGTGGGCAATAAAGAACGGGATTTAAAATTATTAGATTTTTTTCTTTGCCTGTAGAAAGCGACACTAAATCGTAAGGTTTGGCCTGCAGATTCTTAGTTTGCCATGATTTGTATCCCGCTTTCTGAGCATCTGCACCTCAAGGCGGATTTAAATATTTGTACTGAATGCTCAAAATATCTGTAGCTGCTCGAATTGACACGTACAGTTCGGTGATGCAGAGCCAATGTCTTTCGCGTTTTTTATTGTCCTCATTCACTGTAAAGAGTACAACTATAAATATTTACCAAGAAATTTCGAGTAGCTTTGAAAATTAGAGCACTTGTCTTCCGGTTTTTTTATTTTTCTTTTTCGTTATTTCTATGTTTTTCTTTTTGTTAAATTATCGTCAAAGTTGTTCAACGTTACTCTATAAGAAAAATTCCGGCTAGGAAGTTTTGCCGTAAAATGACATCTTTTTTTCAGCCAAAGGTCACAGCGTAGCCAGTGACCCGGTTCGGCTCACGCGGCAATTAGGGTTGAATATCACCCCCCCCCCCCCCAAATAAAGTGCTCTGAACCCTCCCCAGAAGAAAAAAAAAACAAAAAGTCAGCGCCATATCAGGTTTCCTAGATCACTTCGAAGGTCATAAGTAAAATCAAGAACCAGAGTGGAGAGATAGAGGGTCCAAGAAAAAAGAGGTATAATGCAGACGTATACCTTATATCGAAAGACGTGGCTGAGTTGTTGGTGTACCGAGGTCAAGATTGAGAGCCGTCCTGGTTCGAGTCCTGTTGGGGACATATTGCCACTGTCTTGTGTTTTTAGCCAAGAATGTGAACTGTCGCAGCAACTCTCTCTCCTTCTTCATGGAAAAGTTAAGGGGTAAGATGAGCCACGAAGGAAACCACACGAAATGCCAAGAGGTAGCTGCGATCTACTTGTATCTTGAAATGAATATTTCAGTCGACGCATGTTGCGAAATCTCTTCTTTGGCCTCTTCTCTGACTTTTCCTCCTCAGTTTTAATCATCCTCGTGGTCACCGTCTTTATATTATTCGGATATTCTTACCTGATATGGCAACATTTGAAATTAAAATTGAATTTTAGCAGAAGTACATCCACGAGGTGGCTAGGCTTTTCGTCTATGGTTTTCAAGTCAGCCTGGAATTGAAAGTGTTAGCTTTTTTTGGAGAGTTGGATCCGGAAACTAGAGAAAGTGGAAAAAACTGTCAGAGGAAGAAAGAGAATCAGGAGCGAAACGAACCCACGTGTGGAAAATTCGGGAGTAAAGGTACGACAGGTAAGGCGAAGTTACCAGCTAAGAGAGAAAATAAACTTATTTCATGTTTTATTTATTGATTTTGCTCTTAATAACATTAGAAATGACTTTTCAAGGAATTTTCCTTCACAAATTTTCCAAAACTCGACAAACTACGGAAAACTGCGACTTGAAATCGTGTTAACCATACATTATTCCGACAAGATTTATATATGAAATATGTGAAAGAGGACACTGTTTTGATCTACTCAATGTTTCACACTTACTGTTCGAATCATAAAAGCGGAAAGTAAGTCGTCAATCCGTTTTGACTTCCGTTTTATTACAAAGTCTACGTCATTCCAAATCCCATCCGTCATATTTCCGTTCCATTCCCGAATTTAAAAAGATCACACAGGACTACGAAAAAACTGAACTTTACGTTTCGCTGGGTTTTTTGAGCAATACGCGCAACTAAACTTTTTGAAAGAGACGTATTTTTTTCAAATAACAAACGTATGTGCTTTAATGAAAAACTATAGAAAATGTCAGATATGCAAGCTGTCAATGAACGGATTTTGAATTTTGTTGCTGGGTGAGTTGGCATCAATTCCCATGGGTACAAGAGAAAATTCGATTTATTCAGAACGACTCACTGGAACGATTCCAAAATACCGTGCTTGAATTCGACAGAGCAGTGACGCGCGTATTTAAATTCGAAAATCTGGCGTGTCAAGAACATTTTTCCGCTTTTAATGAAACGTTCGAATTGGAACGCTCAGTCCGAAGACATGGTCAAAGGCAGCTGCGTAGCGAGTCGCTCCTGTCACTGAAATTGTGCTCCTCAGATTTTTATCGCCAAGCGAGTAGACCTCACGCACGATCACACTATATCGTGTTGTTTAACTCCACTTCGCTTATATTCATCGTGCGTTTCGTGATCGAAAACTCACGTGTTTTTGCCTCAGCGACGTAAACAAAACGCAAAGAAACAAGAGAGAAAAATTACTTTAGACTTCTTTCAAGTGCCGTAGTCGAGACAAAAATTAAAATTTCATGTGTGGTGGGTTGTTTTCCATATCGGCTAGTAACTTTGTCATTGTTTGTCTCGCAGATGGTTGCTCGATGCGACAGGAACAATGCACTTGTCAGTTAGAACCCGCGCTTGACAATGCAAGCCCCGCCTCCGTCATGACGTCACTTCCTTGCGTCCTTGGAAAAGGTCAGAAAGCTTAAGAAATCCGGCCAAGATTTGAAGAAAAGTCAGTATATTCTTTCATGATAAAAAGTAGCTATTCAATTTTATAAGGGATTTTCCCTCAGTTAATCCTATTAATTTGTTTTCGAATAGACGCGAATCGTAATTTTTCTGTTGTTGTTTTTCAGTAACGAGTATCAGTTTGATCTTGAAACCGCCAACAACAAAAAATTCCATATCTCGGATTCCTCGAAGATACTCAAAAGGACAATAACAACGACTAAAGGAAGGCGCAAAAGAGAAGATCGCTGATTTAAAATATTGTGTCTTAGATCAACAGCAAACGCGAGAAATCTGCGCTATTTTTAGCACCTTGAGGGATGAGAACACCTTGCTTTGACAAGCAGGTGCATTAGAACTGAATGAATTTGAATTATTTTCTTTCTGAAACATGCAAGAAGTCACTAGTTTTCTGAATTTTATTTCGCTACGTTATTCGTTCGCACAATTGTGGTGTACCGATTAAAACACGGTAGAAGTTACCAAACGACTAAAATTTACTTTTAACACAAATTACCGGTACGCGATCGACTGACCAGTCGCGCGATGCGAGTCTTACGACAGATTTTGTTTTAAGAGCAATATTTATTACTACTCGCGTGAATCACGCGTGGGAGGAAGACAAAAGAAGACTCTTAGACTTCAAGGATTGTAATGAAACCAGTAGATATGGTGCGGGGAGAAGGGGGGAGGGGAGGGGCGGAGAGAGAATAATCGGAGATGACGAAAGGAAATGATGGTAATAAACGCAGGGCCTTTTCTAAGACTTCGAAGGTATGCACTTTCAGTTTTCATGAAAAGCTTTTTTCTTTCTTTTTGCACTGAAATAATGGGAAAACCTTAAATAACAGTTGTCTTTGCTCTTGTCGGAGATGCATGCATAGCATTGTTCAGATTTGTACCGCCTTGAAGTCGGTATCACGGCTAAGTTATCGAACATAACGATTTTAACATAAGAATAGAATATATTTTCAAAGGCCTTACCCAAAATTTTCTCCTCAATCAACTTGACCCACAGGAAACGAGAGAATAGGCGCTGACTCATCCTCCCCACCCCCAGCATACGTATTTATACATAAGCCTTCCCCACTACCTCCGGCACGCTTAGACAATTGTGTCACGGAAAATCTGTTGTTACCTGGTACGTTGAGTAGTTTAGGATTTAGAAGGCACAATTTTACTTTTTATCTGCTCCGTTTTTCATAAGAAAATGTATCGTCAATAGTTTTTCCTGCAATATTCACGCATTGCTACATTACCCCTATCCACCCCACCCTACCTTTTATGCGTTGTTCGCTGAAGTGCCTGTTACATTTGACCAACAGCTGAGAAGATTTTCATTCACTTTGCTTCACTGAATCTTATGCATGTGGAATACAGGCACCCTCTCATACGAAGAATTCGAAAATGAACTCTTTGACTTCCTGGAAAGAGCCAGAAAAGTCCGAGATTCTTGGAATCTGGAATGTACCAAGGTATGATTAGAAATATTGTGCATGTAGTAGTGCTGATGATGGCCGGGTCGATGTAAACATTAATATAATTATTTAGCAAATAAAACAATATTACTTTACCTACCTTTTTTTAAACTGTCGTGAAATTTCCAGTCATATAACAGCGACTAACATGGAAGTTTAGTGTTCCTCGTTTTAGGTGGATCTGCTGCAATTCAAGTGACCTTTGCTGTAACAACTTAATCGTTTTTTTTAGCGTCTCAAAAAACGACAAAATATTAGTTTTAGTACGATGGGAAAACAAAAAGAACGAAGAAAAAATAACAACAAAAACTGAGGAAAGATAGAGGCAAATAATGAAGAAAATTGTCACGGATTCTGAAAGAATTCCTCGAAAAAACTTTCATTTTTCAAGATTTAAAAAATCGTATCCACGCCACATGTAAAAAATGTTTTAATATTGTGCTTTGCATGCTTTTTGTTTTTCTGTTGAATTTGAAAAGGGAAAACGAAAAGTGAAGTATCTTACCAAAAATCAAGTGCAGCTGGGTTTTGATAAAGCAAGTGAAGTAGGCACAGAGGAAACTTGTACAGAGGAGATGAAGTGGGGTGTGGAGGAAGATGACAACGTAAGGTTTGCTTTCAATGTGACAGAATTGAAAAATGTAGATTACAATAGCTTACAAGTTCAGTCCTAGCCCAGTTTCACTGTGTTGTGTTCTTTGGCCAGACACTTCAATCACACACTGATACATATTTATGAAATAACTGAGACCCTATGAGCCCCCTGATTGGTCAAAAACCTATCGTTTATTGCATTGGTAAACCCATTAAAAAAAATTGAAGTTTGCTTGATAAAAGCAATAGACTGCATTTTTCAACTCAAAAATTCTGTAAACAACATCCCACATGGGTTATGATGTAAGTAAACAGATAAATAGATAAAGAATGTGGTCTATTTTTTATCAATCAATAAATCACTCAGCTGTTAAATATTTGCTTGCAAACTGCAAGGAAACATGGTAAAACTGTAAGGTGTGTGGTAGGCATGTTGTCCTTTCTAGAGTGGTATTAATAGAAAAATAAACTCTTAGTAAATGAAGCTTCTTCCCATATTTGAAAGAGGCTCTGTTGTGACAGTTTCAACAAAAGCCAATTCTGCAGGTAAAGACTGTTTATAAAGACTCATTGCAGCAATATACAAAATGGCTGAATTACAGAGCTATTTACAAAACATATAATACTAAAATATAATGCAATAAATCCAATAATACTAAAAGGCATAATTATACAAGCCACTTGGAATACTTATGCGTGACAAACTCTTGCATGCACTTGGTCCTACAAGTAGGACACGTGGAGCGGCTAATGCCAGATCTAAGATTATAATTATGCACAACCTCTTCCTGTTTGGGAAGTATAAAATGCAAGGGGTGAGTCTCATTCTCGAGTCTATCAATATAAACCTGGCATAGACTGGCAGATCTGTCACCTAGAGTTGTTAAATTAAGGACATTTAATGCCTTGGTGTAACTCACCAAAGGAAAAATGCAGGTAGTGAAACCTTTTGAAATATTGGGGTGCTGGGAGGGGTGAGCTAAATTGATAAGTAAATTATCCATGAGGGAGTACCAGTCCTATAAATTTACTGCAAGAAAAAAAAAACTATAACGAGTTGCAAAATTATTTGGCACATCCTCCCCTTACCAGTTGGTCCACAACTCTAGCTCCCTAGGTGGAGTGTTATCAGAATTATGTTTTGTACCAGTATTGTTCAATATTTTACTTTTGAATAACTATACAGCTTTAACAAGAAACCCTTTGAGTAATTCACTAGTTTTACTATCATTTTTACAGGATAGTGTAACATCAGGCCAACTAGAGTCAGACATAAACAAAACCTTTCTGAAGTATGAATATCATGTAATCTACAGCACTAGTTATGGTGTCCCAGTGCTGTATTTTACTGCAAGCAGACAAGGTAATTTTGATATTTTCTGTTGTTTCATTTTATAGGTTCCTATTGATATAATCCAAGCTTTGTATCTTGTAGAAGTAACTTACTTAAGGTGGCTCAAAATAGTTTAATTTTTCTTACACCAATTTGATTTAAACAAATAAAAATAGTTCTCAGTGATCTATTTTTAAAGATTTTTTTAACCTTGATATGTAGAAAGATTAATCTTGATATGCTGATTGAAATTCTCATTTAATTAAGTGAAGTCTTAAAGAATCTTAATACTCAGTTAAAAGGAAAAATTTAATTAAGTGAAGTCTTAAAGAATCTTAATACTCAGTTAAAAGGAAAGTGAAGATTGAAAAAAAATAAAGTGGTTCTGAACTGTTTTTAAAGATTTTTTTAACCTTGATATGTAGCAAGATTATAATCTTGATATGCTGATTGAAATTCTCAGTTAAAAGTAATTAAAGGAAAATCTCTGCACATGTTTGAGTAAGAGGGGGTACTTCTTACTGTAGGCTGAAGCTACAATGTTATGGAAACTTTTTATATCAGATTCTGATATTCATAGAAGATGATTGCAATTTGTTGAGAATGAATTGGGTATTTTTTGATACCATTGTAAAGGAAAAATTACTTTTGATCATATATTTATCTTAAGTTTTAACCTATAATTATCTATTGACACTTAAACTAATTTCATTTTTTCATGTTAAATCCAGCTCAATTCTTTTGGTTTTAAAGGTAATAAAAGTGGGATATTTCTCCATTAGAGACCCAAAAGCTTATTTAGTTCATTAATTACTTGAAATGTTTCTTATTTTTGTTAAGATGGTAAATTAGTCAGCTTGGAAGAGGTTTGGAAAAGTGTACCTGATGTTTACCATGAAAGACTAGAGTTTGAAAAATGGACATTATTAACACAACAGGTATGCATACATACATAAGTTAGTTGACCACTCCCCATGGGGGCTTTTCAGGGCCAATTCCCACCCATCCCACCCCAGGAGACGACATCCACTACACAATAATCTTATGCCTGGGAAATTCACGTCTCCTACCCCTAACCCTGCAGGAGACGGTGCCTACGGTTTATTCGTCCTTATCCGAGAAGACTAGAATATCTATCCAGTTTTTGATTATAGAAAGGTAGAAAATTCTCCTCGCTTATTTTAAGACCATGAATATCGGTCCGGCCAGGGCTCGAACCCTTGACCTTCTGCACAACATAATCCAGGGCTCTAACCAATTGAGCTAACCAGGAGGCGGTTAAGCTAACCGGGAGGCAGTTAAGCTAACCGGGAGGCAGTTAATCTAACTGGGAGGCAGTTAAGCTAACCAGGAGGTGGTTGATATGAAGTATGATAAGTATGATAAGTATGATAAGAAGTAACCCAGCCATTCTGCATTTTTTAACTTTAACTCTCACAACTGACCAAGACAGAATTTCTCCTTACAATATCAAAACAATATCCAGCAAAAAAGAAATGAGAATAAGGAAAAAAAGACAATCAGGGATTATTAGTTGATCCAATGCCAAATTCTCCAAACCAACATAATGATTGTATGGCAGAGAGTAAGGAGAATTAGTAACGAGATCTTGGGAGTGCACTACTGAGCTGAGCTCTTTAAAATGCTACAATGCCTTAGCTTAAGGCCTTAACTTAAGACCCTTTACACTCTAACTTTGGTATGCATAATTTCTTCCTACTGTTCTGCAGCATCATGGAACAGTTTTACTAGTCAGACAAGAAAATCACCTTCTATTCAATTTTTCAAGAAGGAAGCTGAAGTTGAAATTAGTTGTGCTTAGTTCAGATCGTACCCAAATGCATCTGCTTCCTTTTATATTATTGTTTTTGCTGAATTACAAATGCTGTTACACTGACATGTTTAGATATATATTTAGTATAATTTCAGAGCTGTGCAAAGAGTTTCCAGCAATCTGATTGGTCGAGCAGTTCCTTATATGACGCTATATAAACGGCTCCACACGGTTTCTATAAAATGTTAAAATAAAATGTTATGACTTTAGAAATTCTCTGTTGTTTAGCTCTGAAATTATACTAAAGCAATTATTCACCTCTGGTTCGGTGAATATTGTCAAAACCCCTTGACTTCCTCTCGGGGATTATTTGATGATATTCACCTCGCCTTTGGCGAATCAGTGTTAAATACATATATATATATATGTATGTATGTAGGTAGGTGAGGTGAGGTGAGGTGAGGTATATTACAATTCTTGGTATGTAAATTGATTCTGAAAAACCCTTAATGGGAGTGATCAGTAAAAAAGTATTGTATTCTCCATACACTTCCTAAGGTGCTAACAAGGAGAATTTGTTTGACAATCAAGAGCTTCTTTAGTTGGTGATGATTTTCTTTTATTCTTGAGCCTCGAATGTATGATTCAGGGGCGATGTTGTAAGGAGAAAGTAGATGCTAGTTGCCTCTAGTGGTCAATGGGTTGATAGTTACCCAGCTACACTTGTTTTGTCTGGAAAAATTTAATTAGTTTTTAGAGCACTTTTCTACTCAGTGAACTATAAGACCAAGTTTTCTTAAGAGTCAATAGGAATTGAGGGAAATTTCAGAAGCCAGTGGGCTCAAACGAAAAACTAGTAAACTGCCCGAAAGGCAGAAAATTGTGTCAGACCTAGGTGATTAGTTGAGTGGCCAGAGTTCTCTAGATTAACATCAGAGTGTAGATAAATCTGAATGCAATCATGGATAACTTCTAACACTCAAGTAATTGTTCCTCTAGCCATGATTATCAAATACTGTACCAAGCATGCTCCCAATTTTCCAAAAGACACTATTGCAAGGCACTCTTGGCCTATAATGAGTGTCTTAGTATGGTAGCTACACATCATCCAGTGCTTTGAATTTGACATGAATCTTTCAGTTGTAAAACTGTTATATTTTATCTCTAGGAACACCCACACCTTGGAGTTCCATTTTACCAGCTTCATCCTTGTCACACAGCAGATATGATGAAGAAAATTGCAAGTGTCGCTGAAGAACAAGAGAACCATGTATCCAACGCAAACTACCTTGTTACATGGCTGAGTACAGTTGGACCCATTGTTGGCCTGAAAATTCCCCCAGAATACTCCACATAACATTAAAGGGACATAAAACATTCATTTTGGCTTTGCATAGGAAAATCTCAACAGTCTGGAAGAGCTAGAGTGGTAAAGTACAATTATGCCTGGGACTAATTAACTGGTTTGGTTCTGGGAAGATATTATCTTTAAGGGTTTTTTGACAGCAAGGAAAATGAAACCAATTTTTTCATTGGACCAGTAATCATGCCAAAGTAAAATGTAATTTTTAAGAAATTAATGCTTGAATTTTTGCATGCTCCAGGTGCAAAATTCTGTTACTGTGCAAATTCTTTCTCAGTGCCAGTTTGTAAAAGATGAGATTATTGAAAATAAAATATTTGGGTTAAATGTTGGAACATCTTTGGTTTTACAAGAGACAATGCCCTTGAGGCAGCATTTAAGATGCCCTCTCAAGTTGAGATGCTTGAAGACATTGCTGATTGCAGTACAAAAATGACAGGTGACTCGTGTATATTTGACAGTAAAGTTCTTTTTATTGCAATTGGAGATCTCCTTTTACACAGATGAGCCGCATCTAGGTGAAGTTATTCATCTCCCTGTCTTCTGCAAAAGAAAGAGATCTTGCAATGAGTGCTTTTGTCTTGAAACATAACACAACATTTTCTTTTTGGTGTACTGGTAGTGTAACTGACCTATCTTAGCCTCCTGGCTTCTCGTTCGGATTCCAGTAAAGTCAAGATATCTCCCTCTCTGACTGGTCCTTTGACATTACGGATGATAGATCTGTTTGTGTCATCAAGAAACTCTACTCGTACCTAAAAAGTTTCACAAAAATTTACAACACAAAATCAATATTCCTGTTATAGATGGGTAAACAGTACAAGACCACTGAGTTGTTTGTAAAATACTGTGCTGTTATGGGCTGTTTCACAAGCAGTAATCAGGGCTCAACACTAACAGTGGCCAACTAGCCACAGACTAGTAGAAATTCAGTTTTGGCTCGAGGTTTTTGATTTCCACCAGCCAGTTTGGCTAGTAACCAAACTGAAATTGTTGTAATATCTAAGTTGTCACAAGCCACTTTGCTGGTAAGTTGAAAAGTTAGTGTCGAGGCCCGAGTATTCTGTTGAGCAATATTTTAAGAAATTTTTAGACTTGACACAATACAAGTCTACCTTCATCAGCTAACTTTACCTCAGAGGTGTACTGAACAATGTAATTTGGAGGTTTGAATTCCCACATGGGATTTCTACCTTTGTCCTTGCACATATTAACAAGATGTAGTTCAACAAAACAGCAAGTGAGATACAATGAATATATGAAGATAGTATATTTTGATCAGCAAGTATAAGCAAAGGTCATAACTGCTGTTTGGCAATTATTGGATACAGCTGGACCCAGTTGTATAAACGGCAGAAAATACTATCCAATAGATAAAACACTAACCAGTGGATATGGGATAGTAAAATGTAGAGTGTTATCCACCAGCTACAGAATTATCAAGTAGATAGTACTATACGACCTTCGCACAACCCCGACCAGAATGATACACTCTATTTTTCATACAAACTCCCCCATCCCCTTTCAATACAGCACCAACTCCACACTCCCATTTTACATGGGTCTTTAGAGGTTCCTCTGTATGGGGAAAGTTTAGATATAACACCCTGATTATACTTTC